TCATTTAGTTTGTTTACAGCAGCTGTTAATGTGAGACTACCTCAATACCTCAAGTGCATTTAGCGATTTTTACTATGGAAAATTCTTGTTGTACGCGATTTTTTGACCAAACACGGAACCACTGTCATCGCTCAGGCACCATATTCGCCAGATCTGTTTCCGTACGACTTTTTTCTGTTTCCAAAACTCAAATTGTCCCTTCGTGGTGAGGGTTTTGAGACGATTGAATCGGTAAAAGCGAATTCGCTGAAGGAACTAAAAGCCATGGGCTACTTTGCAAGATTCGGTTCAGCTAAACAATCTATGGACCCAAGCTTTATTGAAATATTTAAAAAATTTGTTAAGACATAACTCAGTTCATCTATAACAAGAAATATGTCGAAAAACGTTGTTAATAGAATGAAATGCTTAATTAAGTACGAGATTAAAGAGATGGTTTGTCCATTTTATTTCAAAGTAGCATCACTTCTAAGTTCAACAGAGTTAAGTTTCTGATAGGATATCAGACCTCTGCTACAATTTCAACAAGTGAAATTTGCCTTAAGTAAAAGAGGGTCGAGCACTAGGCTTGGTGAAGATTTCCAACACGGAATATTATGGCTTTCATAAAACAAGGTAAATGCTTGCTCTTTGGTTGGGGTCATTTATATTATATATATTAGTTGGCCATTACAGACGTGTGTCGTCCTTGGCCACGTCGAGTAGCCTCCGCCAGTCAGCCCGATTAGTTGCCTTCTGACGCCAGTTGGTAGTACCGAGCGCCCCCAAATCGTTGGTCACCTGGTCCTTCCACCGAAGATGCGGACGTCCTCTACAGCGTTTTCCACCTGCGGGTACCGAATCAAATACCTTTCTAGCCGGAGCACTTGGTTGGGGTCATTTATTACCACAAAAGATCCTCTATGGTCACAATATCATTAAATTTGAAATGTTTGCTATCAGTAAGTCAATGTCAACCAGTGCACAATATAAACTGTCTGCGTTTCAGAGTAGTGTGTAATACAAGGACATAAAATAACTGATGAACTAGTTAGACGCGGATGTGAAACATTGTTAGCAGAGGCCTAAATGGTGATCTCATTAAGAGCTGCTCAAAATCATATCTGTAACTTTTTAAGTTCAAGAGAACATAAATTAGAGCTACGATGAGCTGGAAAAAACTTAACATAAAACGGCCAAACTATAATGTATCGAAAATGAAAATTTAATGACTAAAGTGATGTTGAGCGGCCACTAGCCAGCTGGCAAGCAATTAAGTGTCCGTTTTAGCCAGAGATGCACAGAGCAGGGAGAAAAGAGGAATAGAAAACATATAAGGATATTTTATTATGAAATTTTTTTATCTAATGATTAAAATTTGTTCAATATTTGTAAGACACTGAAATTTATTCCTAAAATTGTATTCTTATATAGTAACTTAACATTTAATCTTATCGCTAAATGCAAAATATTGGCTTATCGCTAAATAAAGATAAAGAACTATTCTATCTCAAAATAAACATATATTTGTGTTATCAAATTGAAACGAAGGAAATTATTGTTTCGCTAAATAAATATATCATTTGAGCATGCGTATTAACAAAAAAATTGCATTTATTATCTTCTGGTGTTTTGGTGGTCACTTCTGGGGAACTGGGGTATCATGGAAACCGTTTTTTATAAGATAGCTAAATAGTAAATTTGAGCACCTAATGTCAATGAATGTAAGTTGGACAAAACTCTATGCTATGATTTGCAGATATTTCTGGGTAGCCATTTTAATCTGACATACTTACAACTGTTCTAACTTTTTATGAAGGACTTTGAAAATAATGTTATAACTGTTATAAATAATAATGAAAGTTGAAAAACATACTGATGCACTTTATTATATTTAGGTAGATCTTTTAAAGAAACTTAGCAAATAGAGATAATTTTTAACTATAAAGTAAGCATTGGCAGTCCTTTTAGACCTTGAAGGAATGTTTAAAGTAAACTGAAGCTGAACACAACTTCATATATTTTAAGAAGGTTTTAACTGAGATCATTTAACAGATTTGGCAGCACTGTTCGAGTCTCATAATCACTACTTGCATGTGTTGCTATTCCAAGTCGTCTGTTTTATATTGGCGGGTGTTCTTTTGCAATTCGCAATTTGTTCTTTTGCATAAATACAGTGAATAACAGAATACTTTCAGTGCTGCTGTAAGAAATGATTTTTTGAAATAAGCTACAGTAATTCTTAAAATGATGGTCTAAGAAAAGCCGTGAAGAGTGCATCATTAATAAAATTTAATTCTGTTAACTTCTAGTAGATGTGCATCACAAATAGAAACGCAAAAACATGGATCCTATTAGAATTTTTTGCTTATTTTTCAGTATGGCTTATCTTTTAAAAATTAGGCCGAAAACGACTTAATTTTTCTAGTTTAAAATCCTAAGTTTTGGAATGAAAAAACGTAAACATGAAAATATAAGTCCTTTTCGCTAAATGGGTTTTCGAGTGTTTCGTTCATAAAATCTTTATTTTATTTTAAATTAACTTTAGGAACTTTTGTTTGGCCCGCTATTTTTTCTTTATTTCTGAGCTTGTAATCCCACAAACCCGCAATATGTAAACATTTTAACAGATCCATGGCAAATATTTACGAATAATTCCAATTTATTTTTAACTGCAACACATTCGCATATGACAAAAACTTGGTCCAATCCAATTTTTGTACCGACATATGCTCTGCATAAAAAGTAGCGTTTTGACACAAAATACTTCTTTTTAACTCAACTGCAAATATACATACACATAAATATATTTTGTTATTTTTTTTATAAAATCATATATATGTATACATATGTAGACATGTACATATATGTAGAGTTACAAAAAAATGATTTCCACAACTCCAGCTGTTGGTTAAAATTAATATTCAGATAAAAATATGAATATTTTACAAATATATAGGTGTTCATTTCTATATACATATATACATATCGGTAATGTGTTGGCTTATGTAACACATATGGGTGAACTTATTTGAGTGCATATATGACTACTTATTTATATATGTATCAAGTGCATGTGGAAATGTGGAAATTTGTAGCTTTTTTGCCAATGCATCGCTTAATTCTCAAGTGAAAATTTATTAAATGTAAATACTCTTTTTGCGGTTAAAAACTGTGAAAAAAATTCAAAGTAACGTACATGTAGCATATTTTTGGGTGTAAATATACTCAGTGACGTGTTGAAAAACCAGGGGTGGCAATATAAAACATTATATATTAGTTAATTGTATAACAGGTGAAAAGCTAAGATGATTGTTTTTTTAATAGAAATTTTTTTTTTAACCGTAGTGTCAAGAGTAAAGCGAATGACTATCGTATAGACGGTTAAAAAGGTGCTCTAAAGCCTAGGCATATCGATATTTTGGTTAGAAAAGTGGACATTTCAGTAATATGGTTGTTCTATAGTGGACGTTGTTCTAGATTTATAGCTTGCTTTAAACGAGGCCAATTCAAAGTCAATTTGAAAGGTAAAGTAGTTTTTTAACAAATAATTCAGGTAGCAGGTCAAAGTGGTCACCCTGTATATGCTTTAAGGCGGGGAGGGGCAAAGGATTGGCGACAAAATAATCGTTCCGTCTGCCGATAATAACTATAATGTGGCCTAAAAACAACTAAGCTGCGGGCGCCGACGGTATACCAATTGTGTCGTTTAAAGCTTTTGGAGAAGAGCTATTAAAATGCATGCTACAGCCAAATCTCAATATATGGTTGGATGAATGAATGACCAGCGATTAGAATTTAAATATGCTTCTGTGAACTGCGTCAATTATAGCGGTATAAATCTTTTAAATATCGCATAAAGGGTTCTGTCAAACGTACTATGTGAACGATTGAAGCCAAGACTAGATATTCAGAGTGTGTCAAATTCTGGCAATGATTTAAGAAAAATAAATCGACACACATCATCTATTTGTCGATTTCAAAGCCGCTTTTGACACTACTACTAGAAACACCTACTATGCCGTTATGTTTGAATTTGATATCCCACCAAACTCTATACGGCTATGTAAAATGACGTTGAGCAACACCACCAGCTCCGTTAGAATCAGAAAGAACCTCTCCCAGCCGTTTGATGCCAAACGAGGTTTCAGACTCCTTGTCGTGTGACTACTTTAATCTTGGAAATGATAGTTCGAGCAGCATATTTTAACCGAACTGACACAATATTCCACAAAAGTGTAATGCTCCTTGCATATGCCGATGATGTTGATATCATTAGCCTGAACACCCGCACAGTCAGTGCGGTATTTTCCAACTTAGAAAAATAAGCAAATGGGTCTTCTGATAAATAAGGATAAAACAAAGTACTTTCTGTTAACAAAGAAATCTTCTGAGCGTCTTGGGACAAACGCCAATGTTGACTATTATAAGTTCAAAGTTGTGAAAGACTTTGTTTATTTAGAAGCTAGTGTAAACGTGAAGAATAAAGTCAACTCAAAGACTTTAAGTAGATAACTGAGAAATATAGTCTTGTCTCGACTAACAAAAATCATGCACCTTATCATATCTGCTGGTGCAAAAGCTTGGACAATTACCAACAGTAATGAGAAGGCGTTAGGAGCATTCGAGAGAAAAATTTTTGGAAGATCTATGGTCTTTTACGCGTTGGCGACGAGTATTGAGTTAATTGGAACTATGAGCTGTATAAGCTGTATCGGAACTTTGACATTGAAGTATATAAAAACCTGAAGCTTCGCTGGTTTGGTCATGTCGTGCGAATGAAAGAAAGTGCTTCGGCTAGAAAGGTGTTTGATCCGGTACCCGTAGGCTTAAAACACGATGGAGGATATTCGCATATTCGATGAAAGGACCAGGTGACCAACGATCGCTTGGTACAACCAACTGGCGAAAACAATTCACTGATCCGGTTAGCTGGCGGAGGTTACTTGAAGCGGTTAACGACGACTCTTGTGTGATATGGCCAACATACTAAGTAAGTAAGTAACTAAACACATAATAGATTTGTGAATAAATGATTTATTTAAATTAACACCGATAACATTTTCGTTTCTTTACTATTGTTGCCTTATTTCGTCATTTCTAGATGTTTTTTTTAAGCCAATGTGGTAAACTTTTTTCCTCCTCAGTGTGTGTTGACTTGCAGTACTGATATTATATATTTAGGAATAAAAGAGAAATTATTGGTTACATATTTGATATTTTATATAATAGTACACATACAATTAATTCTTTTACCTCTTCTAATTTATTGGTACTCACGGTAATAGATGACGTCGAATTACTATAAAAATTTTTGTCATAATTAATATCTTCCACATCAGAATAAGAGTAACTTGGAATAGATTGGCACTTGTTGCTGATAGATGCCTTATTGAAATTGGTGTTCATGGTAATCGGTGGCATTTGAGTATCCGTTGACTTGCAGCACTGATATTTTATATTTAGAAATAAAGGAGATATTATTAGTTATCTATTTGATATTCCATTTAATAGTACAAATATAATCAATTTTTATTACTTTTTCTAATTGATCGGTATTCACGGCAATAGATGCCATCGACTCACTATAAAAATCATTGCCGTAATCTATATCTTCCACATTAGAATAGGTGTGTCTTGGCAAAGGTGGGAACTTCTTGCTGACAGGTGCTTTATTGATATTAGTGCTTATGGTAATCGGTGGCGGTCTTTCACTATAATGTTTCACATCGTAATCTGTAGCCACGTCAATTGATTGCATCTTTTTGCAACTGAAATCTGAACCTACTGTTACAGGTTGAGATTCTTTATTATTAGGTCCTAAGTCTAAATTAAGTCCATAAGGGATGGTACTTAAGTTATCAGCACACATGAAGTTTGGAATTTGATAACTGCTGAATAAGTCACTTGAGGGGTGCGTTTGTCCTAAATATTTAAAAAAATCGCCACTGCCATCAAAATCTGGGTTGATAGTGCTGTTTGTGGTAGGATTCAGAATAGGATTTTGGATTTGTTGATTAACAGCTGTGTTTACTGGAAGAAATTCTGTCGGTACATTATTTTCAGTTTATCAATTCAGTTTTTACTTTTCTTTGATATGTAAATACTTACCATCAGGCAGAACAGTGTAAGAATAATTTCGGACATTTTCCACTATTTTTTGATCTTGTGTTGTTATCAAAATAGTAGTTTCTCCAATTTGAATGGGAACTGTGAAGAAGAAGAAAATTTTAATTTATCTGCTCGATATAAAATAGAATATTTTTACATGTCACTGGAGGCTCCATTTCGCTGTGTCTATTCATAACATGTTTGAAACTCATCTTACTAATACTGAGGTCGGATAACGAAGAATTTTAGAGACGCGTGCCAAAATGTTTGTATTACGGAATTTTGACTTTAAGTTTTGGAGTTATTGTTAAAATATATAAATTTTAATAAAAATAATTATATTTTATTGAACATATCATTTTTTTATTATAATCAAAACATACTTTGTCTGTAAAAATAACTACAAAACCTGACAGGTGGGCATAGTTGAAGAAGTTAAATCACGCAAATGTATTTATTTCAGACATATACGAGGACTGCCTTTTAACTCTTATGATAAACAATGAAAACACAGCGGTTAATCAGTGAAAATGGTTTTATTGCTTTTCGAACTATTCTCCATGATGATCAATACATTTTTGGATTTGATTGAACCAATTTTCGAAACAGTTTTGCCTCTCTAAAGTGTTTATTTTTCCAATATCAGGGTTGTGAATGTCTCACCGGTTTGTTCAGGCGTAGAAAAATGTTCAGGCGGTACTGTAAAACGGATGACCTATCAATTTGACGTTTTGATTTTTTTTTTTGAGCTGATGTGTGGGCGCCCGCATTGTCGTGGTGGAGGCTGAACTTCCTCTATTTCCGAAGACTTTCGGCAAATAAATAGTTGTGCATCACTCACAATTGACTGTTCTATGTTGTTTTAGTGGTACAGTTGCGACATGACCGGTTTTTTTAAAAAAACATTCAAATATTTTCTTGGATTTGCTCCTTCCGGGAACAACTTTTGGTTCACTTGGCAAGACTGAAGAAGTGGATTGCTATTTTGCTTCGAGCTTCCATGATGCTATCTGTCATGATGTCGTAGACATCCGAATTTTGTCAAAATTTCCTTGCGCCAAACAACATGTGCCCTGTTTTGAGCGATAGTCAAATTATGGAGTATCAAACGGGAACACATCTTTTTGACAGCTAAATTGTAAGGATGGAAATTTTGTACAAATTTCCAACCTACATACAATGGCTTTAAAAGTAATTGGTGAATCACCTCCAAGAAATGAAGTGCGTTAAAATTTCTATCGAAATACTATATAAATGCTTACTTGGAATTATTCCCCAGCACGCTCGCCTACAGCATACTTCAATGGTTGGATGTTCTTACAATTGAATTTATTAAATATAATTATAATTTAGTGAGGTTAAAAAAAGTTATAACACCTTTCAAATCTTTCAAAACCGTAACATCACCTCTTCACGCATGTCACTAAGAGTGATTTCAACAAAAAGTTACATTTTGCTTATTTAAATACATTTACTAAATATAATTATTTAATTTGATTTATTTAAATAAATTTTTTTTGTATTAAAAACCCGCACGTGTAAAAACGAAATATAAAGAAACTTACGGAAAACGTCAAAAACGTCAGAAAAGAGTTCACTGTAAGAAATGCACCATAAAGCTTTTGTGCAAAAATGTTAAATTGCATCAAAGTTTAATGGAGATTAACTCAAAGCTCTGCGAACTTTAGACAAAAATTTCAGGCGGATGCATATAAAAGACAACGCATTTTTGTAAAAATTCAGTGTCCCTTTCCCTCAGACCCCCGTCAATCAAATTTGCTTTGCTGACGACTGCATCATCTTCATGTGGTCGTCTAATCCCTCCCGTATCTCAAATGAGCTGAATGCCCATCTGAGGACCCTCCTTGAGTATTACACAAGGCGAAAGATTAAGCTCAACCCCAGTAAGATCTCAGCTATAGCTTTTCAAACCCTAAAAAGAGATCGTAGAGGATTTGATGCCTCTGCCATCAAGCTTAAACTTGACAAAACCCCCATTGAACTTGTCGCTAAGCTAAAATACCTTGGTGTTGTGCTATCCTCCTGGAACGACTTCATCCCTCGTGTTGACTAAGCCTTCCGCTATGCGCGGTTTTGGCATACTCAGCTAAAAAATGCTCTTCGTAGGCACAACCTTCTCAACTGATGGTTGTGTTGTTTATAGCTGCTCTGCTATGAACAGCTCATTCGCTCCTTACTCTCGTATGCTTTCCCTACTTGGTCTGCAATTTCTTCTGCACAGATAGAAAGAATCCGTCTTTTCGAGCGCAAGCTCCTTCGCGATTGCACCAATTACGGGCGCAAGCCTAACGGCAAGCATTTTTCTAACTCCGTTCTTCTGGACTTAGCCAAAATTACTTGCATCGACGAGAATCTCCTCTTACTCGCTCGAAGATATTTCACGCAGCTGTACAACCTCCTGCTTGACATCTCAGCCCCTTGCACCCTCCTTGTGGACTTAGTCCAGGGTTTACGCTACAAGGGGGGAGGGGGGAACAATACCAGATTGAAAAAGAAGTCTGACCAACGAAATCACACACAGTATCAATTATACAACCACGAGCAAAGTAATCTTCTCGATCAACGCTTTATTTTTATCCTCGCAAGCGGATACAAGAGTCACTGAAGATATAATCCTGCATTTTGAACTTTCATTACTTTTTTACTCTAACACTCTATGCTGTAAAAGAATAATTTTCAAATAATATTAAATAAACACTTGGAAAAACTTATATAAACGGGTATGTACTTTGAGAAGTCCTGTCCTCGCGAATACAAATTTATTGCAGCGAATCTGGAAAGTGACTGAGGATATCCCAGCAAAAGAAACGAAAAATCCGTGTCGTTATAAAATGTACATCTAAATTGAATGTAAACTACATATATATATATTTAATCTTTTAACTCCTAGGAGGAGCATAGGGCCTCAATGTAAACTGGTCTAACTTAAACTAAAACGTTGTAATGACGTAGAAAATGCCAAGTTTTAGAACACAAATGTAAAAATTCATCTGGTGATATTTAGTGTTGCTTAGGTGGAAGACTTTAAAGGCAGCCTGCGTACACCTACATGTATGGTATAGAAAAAACATCTTTTAACATAATTTCTTCAAACTCGTTCGGGGGTGTAGAATATCATTAGTTTCTAAAGTGTCATTGTATTGAAGAATTGGTGTTTCTTTTTATCACCTTTTGGCATATAACTTACTTCTTTCTATTTCTAGGTCTTGATCCATATATATTTTTATGAATTGGTGACAACATTTAATAGCTTAAGTTTTCAGCTAAGAGTGTTTGCAGCACCCAATTTGCTAATAGCTTTCTGATATCCGAATAATTATACAAAATATGCTAAGTGTAATACATTTTGTTGTTTTAAAGGTGTCAGCTATCTTCTCGAATGCCACGTAGTAGTAATTTAAACTGATTTGATTAATTTAATCAAATTAATACTGAATTTAGATTTCCTGAACATTTAATGTTATCAGAGCAAATCACTATTGTTCTTTTACTAAAAGACGTATTAGTTTATATTGACAAAACAGAGCTACTATAATTGTTTACTAGCTATTGCTGGGTCTGAAAGGTGTTTTTTTAAAGGTTGAAATCAATGTTGTACTGGTACACTTAATGAAGATGTATCGATTGTTTTAAAAATTATAAGAGTTGCGTCACTAAAACCATAGTCTGGTTGACTCATACCATCCAAAGGTAGGCACTTTCTAAAATTCAGACAATTCCATGTTATATATCAATCATTAGTCATCTTTGCAATGATGATTATTTTCAATTCTATCAAAAATAAATAAAGTTTAACTATTATAATAACTTATAAAAATTTTATTCACTACATACTAAAGTGTGGTATATAATAATAGTTACATGCAAACTGTTTTAGATTTTGCTTAGATAAAATAATTAAATTTTAATATGAATTTTTTGTTCCACCGTGTTTCAACGATAGATAACATATATCGATGAAACATGATAGTTTGAAACTTTTAAAGCTACCCCCGTTTAATTACGTCTTGTTTTTTTTTTGGAACTGAAAAATGCGTTTAAAGATAATTTAATTTATATATTTTGAGGTACCAAACGTTCAAATACAGATACCCCAATTACCACTTTGCCAAGCAACATACACAAATTTTACACATTTACATACAGAGAACTGTTGTTTTTTTTGCAACAAACAAAAATTCATAAATAAAAGCATTTAAATACGCAGATAATTAAATTAATAAAGAACGAATAAAATTGAACTGATAAAAGGAAATATTAAATATTAATTAATTTACAACAAAAATAAAACATGTATAGATTCACATTTATATAATTTGTTGATAGATGGTCGTGTGTGCAGAAGAATATGAACGGCTGCATTAGCAAGTTCATCATGCCTGAAAGTATGCAAAGCATTTTATGTAAATCCTTAAAAGTTCTTTGCAAATTTCTTCTACCATGAATTAAGCAACCGCTGCTGCTGGTGGTGCTGCCTCAATTGATTATTAATTGCTGCTATTTAAAAACTACTATTCCCTCTGCTACATTTAAGTTAAATAAGTTCTCATAATACCACCGCATTTCACATCTTCATTTGTCGATATTTAACCCAACTCACCTTAGTTAAGCAAAGTTGCGCACACAAGAAAGATAAGCAATAAAAAGCAGAGATTTGAAAGTCTGTCTGTTTATCTATGTAATTCCCTTATGACCTTTTTACATGATTTTTTCAAAAGCTAGTTTTGCATATAATATCCAGCTTACCTATATAAGTGTTTGTATGTGTGTAAAACTTAGCAATGCTACCAACCGTCGTGCCTAACTATTCAATCATGCTAGCCCGCCCAACTTAACTTGTAGTTTGCGGAATCAGTAAGCCATGTTGGCGTATTGCTCCAACCACAGCAATATTGTGAGCTTATTAATTATTCATAAATATTGCTTTTCGCAATTAGTTAATGCAAGAATGATTGATTTACAGTACGGAGTTCTGGTTGTTGCGGTGCATAAGCAAGTGTTGCCAATCCGCAAGCGGGTGTGGGTGAACTTACAACTATCTTGCCTGTACAGTACAAGGGGTTGCTTTGTAAGCCATTGTACATTAAACTTAATGCGTAATATTTTATATTTGCATTGAAGAGCATTTCAAGAGCTTTTAAGTATTCATGAAAGATGAATAAAGCAACCGACTTTACACTGAAACATCATATGTGGTGAATTCAATTCTTAAATTGTGTTGTATGTTTCATTGATCTAAGCATTTTGAAATGCTATCAGAAAAGAAAGTCTCACAAAGGAAGAAAGTT